AAAACATATTAAATTTTGATAAATTTATTTATCAATACACAAAAAGGAAAAAATGTGGGCAGGAGATTATCAGGAGTCATAACCAAAAATAGATAATTAATTTCCAAATGCGGTAATTTGGTTGATAAACTTTAACACCAAGATTTTTTTCTATTTTACATACGTATGTAAACTCAATAAGTCGGTCAGCTCATATGACCGACTTATTGAGTAAACTGACTTATCAAATTAAATTACTTAAATATTAAGAAAATGGGGTGAAAATTTTGGCTGACTTATCGAGTAAACCAACTTATCGAATGACCGACTTATCGAGTTTACATATGTATTAATAACCTCTCCTAATTTTTTTCCAGAAGGAATAAGTCCTAAAAAATCTGTGTCTCAAATTTGGTGGAGATTGGTGAGCAAAAAAGGGGTAAAATTAAGGTTTGTGGCTAATTTTATTAATAGAATTTCAACATTGATCACCAAAAAATTTCGGAAAATACACTTCCCAATTGTTTAATATGACACATTGTTTGATCATTTAAACTCTAAGTCATGTGCCCACCAATTTATCATTGGAAAAAATAATTTTTTTTAACTTTCAAAAAATGTTAATGATTGAAGAAATTAAACAAGAATTAGAAAAGGCAAGAGGGTATTATGAGGAAGAGATGAAGAGGTTGGAGGAGTGGGAGAAGGGAGAAGATGATGGGAATAGGCTGAAGAAGTTGAGGAATAAGTTGGATAACAGAGAAGGGGATGAGAAACAGTTGAACAGGTGGGAAGAGAGTGTAAAGAAACTGGAAGAAGAGAAGAAGGAGTTGAAGGAGAGCAAAGAGAGGTGGGAGAAGCAGGTGGAGGAATGGAGTAAGGCAATACATAGGTAAACTCGATAAGTCGGACACTCAATAAGTCGGATTTGGCCTAACTCGGACAAAAATTTCCAGCCCTTTCTTTTTATATTTAAGTTGGACAACTTCTCCAGCCAGATAATAATAAATGACTCTCGATAAGTCGGTTCACGTGATTTTCATAAATCTTTGAGAGATAATCTTTACTATTTTTAGTACTGTATTATCCAATAAATTTTTGTAATAATAATTTCATTATTCATGATTTGTAATAAATCTGTTTCGTGAATAATATTATTATCAATTATAATCATTTTAAAAAATTTGTCTTTGCAAATAATGTATTTTATTGTTATATTTATCAATTATGTCATTTATTATCTCATCATTAAATGAATTCTCGTTTCGTTGTCTCATCATTAAATGATTAAAAGATTTAAAATGGAAAATTAATAGAAAACAAAATAATTCTTTAGTATAAAACCAGTATGAATATTTATTTAAATAAAGAGTAGAGATTTTTTTGTTTTATCTTCTATCTGTTTTATTAAATCATTTTTCAATTATTATCATAAATAAATAAATACGATTTAAACAATGATTTTTTTTTTTTTTTTTGTAAAATTGCATATTTTGATAAGTCAGATCTCTTTATAAGTCGGACACCATGTCCAGCCATTTGTGTCCGACTTATTGAGTTTACCTATGTACGTGAATTTGGTAAAAATGAAGGTAATGAACAAATTGCATAAAAAAAAAATTTTAAGTTGATTAAATTTTAAAATGTTTACAGTATTTCGTATTTTTTTTTCAAAAATTTACATAATAAAAATATTAAAATTATACCATATAAAAGCTATAGTTTTAGAAAAACAAGACATATGATTTTAAATACTTTTAACACATCTAGGTTTTTATTTTTATTTTTTTCTAGACCTAAATCGTGACTGGCAAAAAAATCGTGCAGTGCATCCAAAAAATAAATTGGAATTGAAAGTTACAGTGAAAGAAGAATGATTAAAATACCTTACAAAACGTTAAAAAAGCTCATTGAAGCATGCCAAGAAGAATCGAGGCATGTATTTCTAATGACGGGTGGCCCACTAGATATTAGTCAGTTTTTTTCAATTTTGTTCTTTTCAAAAAAAGTATTCGTTTTTTTTTTTAATTAATAAAATGTAATATTTTGCGTAATTGACAAAAACATCTTTTGTCCGGGTAAGATTTGCAATATTACAGTTTTACAATTACAGAATTACAGGTACATTTACATATTACAGAGGATTACAGATTTGGCTAGATACAACTTCTGTAAATCTGATTTACAGACGGCATCATTAGGGTAAACCACTTTGTGCCATTGACCAAAATTATACGCAATTATTAAAAATCACTTTGTAAATATTCTTTATATTTGTTTATTTCATTGCTATATACAAACATTTAGCATTTATTGTACATTAGTGGGAGTATAACAGTGTTTCTGTTAAATTACGACGAGATCTTGGATGCCCACTTCAAATGAGTGGAAAAAATTCAAAATGGATCTTGTAGGAATTTATCAAGGTTATGAATTTTATCACATGAAAATTCTTTTGATTACAAAGACACTACTAAAAAAAATACAAAGAGATTTACTTAAGCTTGCTACATATGCATAAGGGTGTGGGCGAAACTCTTCCAAAAATCAATCAACAGGGTTACACGTTAATTGTTTATTAGAGTTTCAGCAAAGTTTCGCATTTGGGGGTTTTGTCATTCGTCAGAGTTTTGACAAGGTATATATACTAATTGTTCATTAGAGTTTTGACAGTCACTAAGAGGTTTTGGCAAGCAACCTTACATATGCACGGGATGGATCATTTTTAATATGGCAAGATGCACATAAAGAGGTTCAAACTTTTATTCTTCAAAAAAGTAATTAAATGAGACTAGAATATAGAGTTTTGGAAATAGCAAAAGGAGAAGAGCAAGAATGTAATTTTTGCTTTCTAGGTTTTGATGATCCAACTAATTTCAATCTCGATACTGCTCCCACTACTCATCAAATGGTAGATTGTAATACTCCTGATGGTTATTCTGACATCATTTTTATTTGTGGAGAATGTAAAAAAGATTACGAAAATTATACTCTTCCATGATGTGAAAAATGTGGTAGGTTAAAGAGAAACAGAAATAGGTACTTTTGTAGCCATTTAAAAGCTAAATCAACTAAGCCTTTTTCTGATAAAGAACTACTTTCACAGGCTTTCAGTTCTTGCCTAGCGAATTAAACTAGAGGACTAGAAAAGGAGTTATCAACTACTAAAGAAGAATTAAATATTGAAAGGGAAGAAGTAGTTAAATTTCAAGAGAAATCTGAAAAGTGAAGTAAGAAACAAAAACAGGAATTATTAAATGAGATAAAGAGTTCAGAAGCAGTTAGAAGAAGAAAACAAGAGATTAAAAGAGCAACAAAATGGTCAATTAGTTGCTCAAATTGAAGTTAAAGACCTAAAAAATGACCTTGATTGAAAACAAGAAAGTAATTTAAAGAAGATTAAGAAAATATTTTCTTCTATATAAATGAAATTCATTCCAACTATCCTTTAGATGAAGTTAAAGAAAATATCCTGGCTTTCAATATCTTATTGATGATAATCCAACAATAATAAAAAAGCAGCTACAGTATTACTGATAAAAATAAGATTTACATTCTTCCTGATTACAAACATAATCATAGCACTACT